CACCTTCATGGACGCCTACTCTGGGTACAACCAAATCAAGATGCATGTCCCGGATGAAGGTCATACCGCTTTCATAACAGACCAAGGTCTGTACTGCTACAAGGTCATGCCCTTCGGGTTAAAGAACGCAGGAGCGACCTACCAGAGAATGGTGAACAAAATGTTCGCCAAGCAGATCGGCCGGAATATGGAAGTGTATGTGGACGACATGCTTGTCAAGAGCAAGCAGTCTAAGTCGCATCTCTCCGACCTGGTYGAAGCCTTCGARGTKCTGAGGGCRTATCAAATGAAGCTCAACCCTGCTAAATGTGCCTTTGGAGTCACCTCGGGAAAATTCCTTGGCTTCATGGTRAACAACCGGGGAATCGAGGCCAACCCCGAAAAGATTAAAGCCGTGATCGAGATGGAGGCACCTAAAACGCTGAAGCAGATTCAGTGCCTCAATGGCAGGATTGCGGCCCTGAACCAGTTTGTTTCAAGGTCGACAGATAAGTGCCTCCCTTTCTTCAAGGTCTTACGAAAGAAAGCACCGTTTGAATGGACAGCGGAGTGCGAGCAAGCGTTTCAGCAATTGAAGAGCTACCTCTGTTTGGCACCCTTGCTTGCTAAGCCCATGCCGGGGGACAAGCTCCAATTGTACCTAGCAGTGTCTGACAGTGCCGTCAGCTCGGCCCTATTCAGGCAAGAGGAAGTGCGGCAAAACCCGGTCTACTACACAAGCAAAGTTATGACCGAAGCCGAGACTAGATACCCTCAGATGGAGAAGTTGACTCTCGCTTTGGTCACCTCGGCCCGACGACTTAGACCATACTTCCAAGCCCATACGGTGGTGGTGCTCACTAACTTGCCCCTAAAAAGCATCTTCNATTTGTTAGTTTTCGTTTCTTCAAGACAAATTTAAGCACATAAGATATATTTTGCAGGAATAAAGCATCGGGAGGAAACGAGACATATTTGGATCCAAATGAGAGAAAAATAGGAATCAAAGTGACCAAGATGGAATAACAACAAGATTTGGAGCTAAAAACCCGAGGAGATAGCGCCACGGCGCTAGCCTAGAGCGTCGCGGCGCTCCGAAGTTTAAATTTCGCGTTTGTGAATAGTGTAGTGCCATGACCCTGTATATAGCGCCACAGCGCTGCCGCGACAACTTTTTATAAAAATAGGGTTGTGCAGCCGCCGAAAGGGGGGGAGTTTTGAAGAGGTTTTATGGCAGTTTCCCTTTTTGGCCAAATTGGAGGGCAAAGAGACCATTGGAGAGCTTAGAAAAGTGATTTTCAAGGCTCGGGATCGTGGAGGTCGCTTTGGGACGGACGATTGACACGCCGAACATAGTTTCTTCTCCTTTCCCTTGATTTTTCTGGTTTTGTTATGGACTTCTCATTGTGATTTTATTGTTTTCCATTGAATATGACAAGCTAAACCTCTCATCTTGGGGATTGATGTAGCCATTGAACTTTATGCATTGATTGTTTAGTTTTCTTGGTTGAATGTTTATGAATGTTTTATTTATACTTCTCTGTGCTTAATGCCTTGAATCTACTGGCCATAGATTGATTGATTTTAGACTTGAAATCTTACGCTCGGGAGAGGTGGTTTAGAGTTAGAACTGTGATGCATAACTAAAGGGGTTTTAAGATCGGGGGATTTAGAAGTCCTTTAGAGGTCGATAAAAGACTTGTTCAATAAAGCCTTTACTTGTTATAGAAACTAGATAGGGATATTGGTTTCTTAATTCGTAAGGAGAATTAGCTTACGCTCGGGAGAGGCAGTTGAGATTTGAGAGTTCTTGGCCTATATAATTAATAATTCGTCCAATCTTGAGTAATTAAGTAGTTGATTCATAGATTCAATAGGTGAAATCAATTCCCTAGGACCTTTCCCCATTGTTTTTATGTTTATTATTGCATTTTTATTTTCTTTGATTATATTCTCCCTTTTGATTTTGATTCTCTAAATAAAATTGAGCAATTTTATGATCTAGAAACCCAATCTAGAGGACGATATCGGTATTAACTTACCACTTTATTAAAGCTTAACTCGTACACTTGCGGTAAGCAATTTCTGCTACAATAATGGAATATTTATTTTCAGTACAACGGGAACTGCTATTGTCCATGCAATTGTTATATGGTGATTGGTATTTGCTTTTTGTAGTACATGTATTCTCTTGCTCAAGTTAGTGTTTACCATTTAATTTTTAGTTTAAGATATCTTTTTGTTTTCTAGGTAGTCTTTTACTTTAACAGAGAAGCGTATCACATTATTCTTATCACAAGCTTGTTGTACAACATGGATAAAAGTTGGATGGAAATTGGAAATCGAGCATCGCAAGAATATAGAAACGGAGTAAGAAGCTTTCTATATTTTGCATTTATGCATACGACATCCAATCAGATTTCTTGTCCATGTAAGAGATGCAATAATGCAATACTTAAAACTCGAGATGATGTTGAAGCAGATTTGTTAATGTTTGAGATAGTTCCAAGTTACACTCAATGGACAATGCATGGTGAAGAAAGTTTATCATATGGATTAGGAGAAAATGATAACGACTCTGGTGAAGAAGATATTTTTGAAATATTAGAGAATCACTTTGGTGTTTTTAACACAAATAATTGGACTGAGAAAGGAGAATCAAGTAAACATGGTTATAATGAAGAACCAAATGAGGAAGCTTCTAAGTTTTATAGATTGTTAAATGACACAGAAAAGGAACTTTATCCTGGGTGTAAGAGATATTCTAAGTTGTCTTTCATTATGAAATTGTTTCACCTAAAGTGTCTTGGAAGTTGGAGTAATAAATCATTTACTTTATTACTCAACTTATTAAAAGATGTATTTCCAGAGGGCACTAATCTACCTAATAATTACTATGAGACAAGAAAGATCATTCGGGACCTAGGACTTAAGTACTCTAAGATAGATGCATGCTTGAATAATTGCATGCTATATTGGAAGGAAAATGCTAAGACAGATAAATGTTCAGTTTGTGGAGAATCTAGATGGAAGCTAGAAAAAACATCTAAAAAGAAGAAGGTTCAAAAGTTCTTATTAAAAAACAAGAAGAAGGTTCCACAGAAGGTTTTGAGATATTTTCCTCTAACTCCAAGATTAAAAAGATTATATATGTCAAGAAAGACAACATCAAGTATGACATGACATTTTAGTGGACGAGTAGATGATGGAGTTCTTAGGCATCCTGCTGATTCTATAGCCTGGAAAACACTTGATGAATCATATAGCTTATTTGCTTCAGAGCCTCGGAATGTTCGACTTGGTTTAGCCAGTGATGGATTTAATCCATTTGGAAATATGAGTCTCTCTTATAGCGTTTGGCCTGTCGTTCTTATTCTGTATAATTTGCCACCATGGATGTGTATGAAAGAGCCTTATTTCATGCTATCATTACTCATTCCTGGACCTAAAGGTGCTGGTAATGATATTGACATCTTTTTACAACCATTAGTCGATGAGTTAAAGGAGTTATGGGAGGTTGGGGTTGAAACTTATGATGCTTCACTAAAGCAAAATTTTACCATGCGTTCTGCATTATTATGGACCATCAATGATTTTCCAGCATATGGAAACTTATCTGGTTGGAATACAAGAGGTACCCTAGCTTGTCCTTTATGTAATTTTGATACTCGATCACTTTATTTAAAAAATAGTGGGAAAATGTGCTACATGGGTCATCGTCGTTTTTTACCTTTAGATCATGAATGAAGACTAAAACCAGAATTGTTTGATGGACATATTGAAGAAGAATTACCTCCTGAGCAGTTGGCTGGAAGTGATATACTTGAGCAAGTGAATCAATTTGAAGAACATATATTTGGTAATAGTGTGAAAAAAAGGAA